AAAAGGAGGGAGTGGTGTACACATGGTATACTCTCTCTGAAGGAAAATAGATTGAGGAGGAGTAGACACAGGACAGCAAGATATTAGATGAGGCTGTACTGACGATCTGTGAAATAAATCAGAAACATTAAGAAAAGGAAAATCGAACATAATGAAGAGGCAAAAAAAATGTAGGACAGGGTGAGAAGGATTGAACTAGGAATGAAACATAACACTCAGGTGGCTACGTGGGATACTTGACCATTAACCAATTTAAGGGAACAGGGGAGCAGCAGAGAGAAGGTGATGCAGAAGTGAGACCTCAGATTTGACAGAGCAAAGCAGTACACTTTCCCTGGCATTTCTATGGACCGTAGTTTTTGTAAAATGGACAACCAATCCCTTAACAAATGGGATTTGAAACAGTATAATATGATTCAAGACCTAGAGGGGCTAAACATGTAATTCAAGATAAGGCTATTTTTCCCTTTAATATTCCATTTCATCTGTAAACCATTCAAATGCATATTGTTTGTTTTAATTTCTTTATATTTCAGTAGTCATTGGCTTGACTCATTCTCTAATTGACCCTAAAATTTTGTCCCAAAACTAACAAAAATTCACATAGAGTGAAGAACCAGATATCGTGTCCTAGAAAATCATGGAAGAAACCCTTGTAATATACTAAATATATATGTAAAATTATGAGATGAAAACTAATTGTACTAATAATTCATGGTATCAGATTCTAACAAAGGTGAGTGAGAGCTTCCTCTAGGACTTTCAGTTCTTAATACCATAAAAATTTTGAATCAGATAATTTCTGCTGTGAACTTGACTCCAGGCTTTGCACAATATTCATAGTACCCTCAATGTCTACAACTGTCAACAGTGCTCTGCCTCTCCCATGTCATGGCAAGAAAAACATCTCCAGACATCGTAAATGTCCTCTGAAGCAAAGGTGACTAACTATCCCCAGATGGCTGGCAGTGAGGGAATTACAGGGACACGTGACTGTTAGTTATACAACTGAGGCACTCCTTTGGGAGACAATGTAAGTTACTTACCCTATCTAGTGTACAAAACTGCTGTGGCTGAGAATTACTGTCCTTCTGGAAGAAACAGTCATGTACCGTAAATTCTCAGAACTGTATATGCTACTATGGAGGTTCAAATTCAGTATATTTTAATCCAATAAGGTAAATATTCACTTTTCATTTGGGTATGGAAGACTAAGGAAAGTTTTATCACAGCTAGTGCTTTAAGATTGGGGTGGTATTAATACATGAAAGCAGGCAATCCATTTGGAAAAAAACCATATGACTAAACAACCAAGAATTGTGAATACTAAGGGATGAGTGAGATAGTTTGGCTATATGATTATGGGGAAGACTGAACAAATCTAAAATGGGTTTTTGTTTGAAAGGCTCCAATCATGTCTTAGAAGACTGAATCATTTATAGACCAAGAAAATACAATAAATAACACATAGATAATTCACAATATGCTAGATTTATCCTGTGATCTTTACTGGGTATGAATGTCCTGTGTATGAATTCACTTAATTTAACTAATACACTATCCAAACAATCCTTACTGTGAGCAGTATTAGTACGACAATTTTACTGGTTTGGAAACTGAAAGGCACAGGGAAGTTAGTTGTCATGTTTGTGGACAGAGTGTCAAACAAGGCAAACAGAACTAAGCCCAGTCTGTCTAACTATAAAGTTTCATGCCCTCAACTGTCAATGTTCTCCTGCTCCTCCAACTGACGGTGGGAATTCGTTAAATCTGCTGAGTAGGAAAGAGGCCTTAGATTTGAATTTTGCAAGATGGTATTGATGGCTCTGTGTAAAAACGCTAGGATCAGTACATTATGTGGGTTTTATACCTTATTCCCTCCGTCTTCCATTGGAAACCTCAAGCAATCTTGTGTCTATGAATTTTTGGTTAATAGTAGCAAATGATGAGCTTAATATCTAAATTTAGTAGTAATACTCAATTCCATCATTGAATAATCTTCAGTACTAAAGCTTAGGGGAGGAAAGTACTGGTAAGAAAGACAGACAACAACTTTATCAGTGAATGTCAAAAGTTTAAAAACACAGAGGGGAAAGGAAAACTATAATGTCATATAAATAATGGAATAAAACCAAAAGTTTTAAGGCTAGTAATAATTAGTTGTTTTGGAAATGATGCTTTTAAGATCTGGACAAAGCTTAGAAGATAAGGAAACAAATTCAGTATGATCCCCAGGGGATGAGTCAGATACATCTATTTTTAGCTTCAATGTCCTAATAAAATGGCCTCTTTGATACTCCCATCTCTTCAATCTAAATTATCCCCAGAAGCCCCATCCCTTGACTCATTCCTGATAATTTATTAATAAGCCACCCCATAAAATATCCCTTAATAAAACACCCAGGCATTGTGGCCTGCTTAATGTAGTTAATTTAAGCAAGGCGACAAAGAGCCATGTAGAGATGACCATATTAGATTAGGGGAGAGCACAGCATTGCCCCAGCCCTTCCCTGAAAAATGTAGCTGAGGGTGAGCAGCAAGAGCCACATGGCAGCTTCAAACATCCCTGAGTCTGTGTTCAGCAGTGAAGAGGTTTTCCCAGTTTCAGGTGGTCATGAACCCAAAATCCAAATGGCGCTAGGTGGAATCTGGAAAGAACTCCTGCATCCTTTCTGTCTCCATTCTTTTCATTACCATATTTCTCTTTTGCCCCTATTGCTCAATTTTTTGTTTGTTTTTATTTTTTTTTTGGTACAGGTGTAGGAACAGGGCTGGCTACTTTTATAAAATAAAATCATGAAAATTGCAGGTAAAAGGATAAATATAGAAATTGTTATGCTGTGAGATAACACAGACTCAGAAAAACAATGTTGCATGTTTTCTCTCAATTGTGGCTCTTAGCTCTAAATATCTAAAAGCGGGCATAAATCCTGATGTAACTTCAGGAATAATGGGGGTAGAGGGGAAGAAGGAGCTAAAGAGAAGGGGCTAGTAAGAGACACGTGTTATCAAGGGGAAAATAGGGAAAACTGAGGCACTTTAACTGGGGAGAGGAGAGAGAGCATTACAGAAGAGGAGAGAGATGAGAAATAAATAATGCTTAGGTAGTGTGAAAAGCCAGAGGGAAACATATTAGTTCAAAATTCTATGGGGGAAAATATATATTTATGAGTACATGTATACAGCTGAAAGTTATATAGCAACAAACATAGTGCCAGACAGGAGAAGCCTCCCTTTGAGCTGTTGATCAGGGTAGTCCAAGAGACTCCATAAATAATACAGGCTACTGGCACAGCTCTTGATTCCCTCCCATGACGTGAAGGTAAGACCATATTGCTGAAGACACGACATAATTTGGACACAGGGCTTGGAACAATTGACCTGGAACTGCTCTGGAAGCCTCCTCCCTGAAGGCTAGCTATCATAGTATCAGAGGATACTATACAAGCTGCCAAGGGAAAAACAAAAAAACAAGAAACAATCAATGATCCTATCTGGCTGTAAAGCATATGAACCACAACAATGACAAACCCAGAAAATTGTCTGTTTTGGTGCATTAATAGCACAGTTATCTTGGGGGTAATCAACAGTTGTCTAACTGAACTTAAGGCCCCTCTCAGTGTGAGAGAACTCAAGTGTGTTACTATAAATGTGTCAAAGTACACTTGGTTCCAGATATCATAGACCCTAGAGAAAAACCTACTTCTGTCACTTCCCTAGACCAACATAATTTTGTACTATTTTCTAAATATGTATCCCTGTATTTAGAGACAAGTGTACCTCTCATCACTCCAACAAGATCTGTATAATGACAATAACAGTTGATATGCCATGGTGGATGTGGGAAATTTCAAGGAGTCCCACTTCAAGGTGATGTGTGTGTATGTATGTATATGAAAAAGTAATAAAAAGGAAAGGAAATTGAGGAGTGGAGAAGACATGGGAGGAGCAGGAGAGGAATGGGAATAATTGAAGTAATACAAAGTTATACTCCTGTATGAAAGTAACAAAAAATAAAAATAAAATTTTATTTCCTCTGTGGTAAATTATATAAACAGCCATAAAAGCTGGTGTGAATATGTGTATAGCTACACACATATAAACACATGCACACACACACACACACACACACACACAACTGCAAAGTTCATTGCAGTGTAATTTCAGATTGGTGTATTCCGACTAAACATGAACTCAGACTCACTAAGGCTTCAGAATCATTAAGACTTCTTTTCCAACAGAAAATATGACATCTGACTCAGAAAACCTAAAAATGTCATTTTATCTAGAACATATGTTTTACAACATTTAAGAGCCAAATTATGTGAACATTTTCATATGCTTTTCAAACTTGGCAGCCCCACCTTGTCTTCTTGCCTTCCTATTATATGTGTCCTTGGTAAGGCAAAAGCCAAGCATTGATCTGAGGCAGAGCTATCTTTCACTGCCTGACACTAATTCTAATGATAACATAAGAGTATAACAAATAAAACCATATACCACTAAATAGACAAGCAATACATTGCTCCTAGAATCCTAATAAACAGCAAAGCAGGCTTTAGCAAAACTGACTCATTTCTTGAGGATTCTGCAACTACTTCTGATTTGCATCCGGGTACTTGGCAACTACATTCTGCTTTTCCAAATTCAATAATGTTGCCAAGTTGGCCATTTTTCAAAAGCTAAGGAAAAGATCATATGCCCATACTCTGGCTTTCACTTGTCTCTATGAAACAAACTCAAATATGAAACCAATCACCTTTTTCTAAGGAAAGATCTGTAAATGCCAATTCCAATAGTTGACTATTAGCAGAGTGAGTCAATTGAGCCAATGTCTTCCTGTATTGGGGTATTGTTTAATTGACAAAAGGTACTGAAAGATTAAATAAGGGACTGTAAACTAAACTACTTAATAGCTTGATGTATAGGGAAAGGAGGAGCCATGGTTAATCCACAGTGGGCTTCTTCCTGTAAGGATCACTTCTCTTATCCAAGCTTACCTTCTCCCATCACAGCATCTTCTTTTTCTGTCTCTACTTTTAATCCTTGCTGTTTGTATGGGTTATGGGTATTCTTCTTTGGATCACTAGCCTGGGATTCAGCTATGTCTTCAGGCTTTATTTCTGTATTAATGGAAAAAGGAATGCTTTTTTCCTTGGTGTCTCTTCACATTAAAAAATGTTTTTATTTACATGTAGGCCTTCAATGTTGAAGTATTTATGTTAAACATCTTTTCCAACTGTGATTGTGATACATATTCAACAGAAGGTATATAATATACAAAGAGTTTGAGAAACCATGTTACAGAGCATCCCACATACCAATCACTAACTTTATGGTATGAAATTATATTGTCTGATTCAATAGCAGCTACATGCAGCCATGCAGAAATTGAAGCATGAGTTTGAACTGTGATGTTCTGTAAATATAAAATACGCACAAGATTTTGGGAAAAGCAACATATACAATTAATTTATATTCATTACAAATTGAAATAATTTTTTTAATATTTATGATAAAAGCCAAGTAGAAAATTACTGTTTCCTCTTACACCTTAAGTTATAGTTCAGTTGAACAGAAATACTTAGTAAAATACCCTTTAATCTGAAGTAATAATAGATTCAAAGGAAGTTGTAAAGAAATATATGGAGAAGACACAAGAATTTTCAGCCATTGCTAATCTGTTTGGCTAATAATAAGGGCATCCCCTAAAGAACTGTGTCTGAAGACTTGGTTCACAGAATGGCATTATTGGGAAATGGTGAATCCTTTATACCATTGTCCAGCCTTTTGACATTGGAATAGTATGTTGTCATCTACAAAGTTTGGTCTTGAGAACCATGTGATTGAGTTTCAATAATTACGTAGGAAAAAAAACCTGTTATTTAACATAGGAATCTGTAACCAGTCAGAAAATTATGAAGATTTAATATTAGAAAACACACCTATAGATATTGAATATAATTGCAGAAAAAAATCTACTAGAGATAAGGGTACATTGAGGAAGAGATGGGTTCAGAGAGCTTGGTCTATGAATGAATTCATATGAATGAATCCATAGACCACTTGGTCTATGAATGGCTATTGGATTTAGATGTCAAATGGAGAATATGAATTAAATAACCAAATTCACTGGATCACATGATTTTTCAAAAATATGAGAATTTCCTTTAAAATCAGAATATTCTGTACACACATATATACACCTATACCAACACACATACACATATACATTTCCCTCTGATTTTTCTTCTTTTTGAGACAGGGTCTCATGGCTATAAAGGCAAGGGTAATCTTGAACATCTGATTCTACTATCTCTACCTGTGGAATCATAGCACTGGGATTACAAGCATGAACCACCATACCCATATTATAGGTGCTGGGAATCAGACCTATGTCTTCCTTTGTGATAGGAAAACATTCTACCCACTAAGCTGCATCTGTATTGATTCTTTAGTCCACCTCTTGACAGGTTGCCTGGCAGTAGAACACAATGTTTCAGGGACTAAACTGAAGCCAAACTGTCTGTCTTCTTTGTGGTGTGTGACAATAGACAAAGTACTTACACTTTCAGGGTCTCATGCTCCACATACCCACTAATATTTATTAGCTCTGTCATTGGGTTGTTTGAGGAATTATATACACTCATTTATCTGAAGTTCTTAGGGCCTGGTTGACAGTATTCAATAACCACAAACATTTATTATTGCTGCTAATATGAAAGATTAGATAATCCTGACTTTATTATATGAATTGAAAAATTGAATGTGTAGATATATAAATTTCAGAAGATTATAAAATTTCTGTTTGAGGGAATAAGAAGAAAAGTTGCATGTGGTAGCACATGCCTTTAATCCTAGCATGCAGGAGGCAGAGATAGGCAGATCTTAGATCTTTGTGAGATTAAGACCAGCCAAATTTATATAATGAGTTTTAGGCAAACAGGGGTAGAGGGAGGCTATGCCTCAAAAACTTCAATCATTATATATAATATCTGATCATTTCTATCATTCTCATCACCCCTCCCCCAAATCCACATACTTCTAGTTTTGTTTTTCTTAAACCAACAGCAAACCAGACAGCTCAGACCCAGCCATGAGACCACTGAACACAGGGACATGGCCAGGATTATAGTTGATCTCTCCTTTCTGGTCACAGGCAAGACAGCAAAACTCTTAGATCGAGCTGTAAAATTAGTGCCTGTTGGGAAAGAAAAGTTCAAAAATACATTAAAATGCACATAGGAGATTCTTATCAAATATTTCTTAGATAAAAATACTAAGAAAAGTTTTATTAGAATAAACTCAATAATAAAAACAACTTTCATTTTTCCAAAAAAGTCTTAGGTGACCATAATAAAACAGAATCCTTCTTTACAACTCTACTCATTACACTGAGAACTTCTTCCAAATCTCTCATTTGATGCTCAGACCTACTTTGTTCATTACTATAAAATTGTAACTTCATTCACTCTAATGATCCACTAATGAGAAAAAAAGGCTCCAGATTGTACAAGCTACTTCTGATAAAGCTTTAAAAAAAATGGAAATCTGTTCACAGAGCACAAAGTAACACCCCACACGTGAAAACACATGCAGAGAGTAAAAGAACATTTAAAAATTTATTTTTTTCATTCTTCTACAGGTGGAGATCCAGTTTTGCCAGCACCATTTGCTAAACATGCTGTCTTTCCTCCAGTGAACGTTCTTGGCCCCTTTGTCAAATATCAGGTGGCAGAAATTGCATGTACTCATATTTGGGTCTTTAGTTTTGTTCCATTGATTTTTGGGTCTATTTTTCTTCTATTTTTCTGCCAGTACCTTGTTGTTTTTATGACTATACTTCTGTAATACAGCTTAAAATCTGGTATAGTAATCCCCTGGGCATTGCTCCTAGTGCTCAGGGTTGCGTTGCCTGTTTTTTCCAATTCTGTGAAAAATGTCATGGGGATTTTGATTGGCATTGCATTGAATCTATAAATGACTTCTGGTAGGATGGTCATTTTCACAATATTAATTCTTCCAATCCATGATCATTGGCGGTCCTTCCATCTTCTGATGTCTTCCTCAGTCTCTTTCTTTAAACATTTAAAATTTTCATTGTAAAGGTAAACCCCAATCTTTCACCTTGCACAAAAGTCTATTCCAAATAGATCAAAGACCTCAATGTAAAGCCTGAAACTCTGAAACTCTTAGAAGAAAACACTGGCAAAAACCAAAAAGATATAGGTGTAGGAAAGGATTTTCTAAACCAGACATCAATTGCTCAGGAAACAAGGTCAAGAATCAACAAATGGG